GGGTTACAAAAAAAAAACAAACATTTCGATCATGGATTACAAAAAAAAAAACAAACATTTCGATCATGGATTACAAAACATTCGATCATGGATTACAAAAAATTCTATCATGGTTACAAAAATAAAAAATAAAAAATAAAATTCGATCATGGATTACAAGAAAAAAACAAACATTTTGATCATGGATTACAAAAAATTCGATCATGGATTACAAAAAATTTCTATCATGGGTTACAAAAAACAAAAAGAAAAAAAAAAAAAAAAATACTGTTTTTCACAGAGCCGTTTTACGTAAGCGATGTTAACTAAAAAATCCATCTCTAAGTGAATAAATTACATCCAATTGAGTATATTTTCTGATAAACAATAATATAAGGAATCAAAACCCTAAATTTTTAACACAATATTTCTAATATATCATGAAAACAAAATCAAAAGGCGGAAAAAAAAAAAAAAACAGCGGAATTTTGGTTCCGTAGACATCTCAGTGTTCATCTCAAATTTCATGCTGTAATTGACCAGATTACGTAAAATTGAAAATTTTAAATCATACTAAACACAATAAAGATTAAAAACCCTAATTATTGAACTCATTATGTTCAAAATATGCCGTGAAATAAATCAAATGGCGGAAAAAAAAAAAACCCAAACTTCTTACATGATTTTATGAACCGAAGCCTTCAATTTTAAAAAAACTTTGTTTTTCTCAACGATTATCACAAATTAGTAACAAAAGGTTTTGATTCACAGCTTTAAGATCAAAATGCCTACAAATTTTGAAAGATTCATGCCCTATTTGGCATGAAACTTTCAGAAAAAGCGGAAACCCTAAACACCAAATTTTTCGTGATCCAAAAACACCAAATTTTTCAACCATTTAATCCTTGAAAAAACTGAATAAAGCTGTTCACAGCCTGCAAATTAGATCACATGCCAAAAAAAACAAGAAAAATGATCAAAAAATGACAAATTTCAAAGAATCCCGTGAAGAATACTGTGCAACCCGTGTTCTTCACGGACTCGCCGATTCCGCACAGTGACTCGACGAGTCACTGTGCAGAATCGTCTGGTTCTCTCTAGAACCGGACGATTTCCGATTTCTTAGCCGATCCGATCCCCATTTCGCGATTTCCGAGTCGAACCGAGCGAGTCCGGTTCGACTCGGCGTTTTTTAAAATACTGGTAGTAAATATGTCGATTCACCGATCCGGACCGGTTTTCGATCGGTTCATTATTTTTACACAATTTTTTTTTTTTTTCCAATTCACCTTTTCTTTTGCATAGTAAAATGGCAATCCAAACCAATGATTCATCATTCCGTACCGGTTTTTGTGATGCCTGACGTTGACTTATCAATTTTTAAATCACTGCATGTGACAAAATTACAAACCTCAATAAACCAGTCTAAAGCAATATCGAACATTAAGAAGGGAGAGAACAAGTCTGAGCTCGAGAAATAAGGCTGATTAAATGGAAATTTATGAAAACTTTAAATTTTATTATCAAATTTAAAAGGGAAACGTTTATATAAGGGTGAGGCCATAAGTATTCTAATTAAGAAGTACCTCAAAAATGAACTAGAAGAGATTGCTTCGATCCCCAAAAATCTTCCATTTGATCATCTCTATCTCAAGATGTATGGACATGAGAAAAAGAAATGGAATTTAAGTCTTGAAAATAGTGCATCTTGTAAATATATTTTTTGGAATTCCAATATTCAAGATTATCATGTGTTCATAGATCAACTTGATCTACACTATTTTTTATGTTTTAAATTTTATAATTATAGATGAAACTGAATTTTCAGGCCATCAGAAAGATTTCTAATATTGAAATAACATATTTTGATACTATTTCAAGGTGCGCCTTACTTTGATGGTTTAGGGCCTCATCCTTATACAAACCACACCAAATTTAAGATAGACGTGTTTTATTATGTTTTACACTCAAGTCTCACTTTTTCAAAGTTTGTATTGTATTTTGATTATTTTTTCTTTTTTATGCATAAGATTAATCTCAAATTTAGGGAGTTGATACTTCACGCTATTTCAAATTTGGAAAAATACAAAAAAAATATTTTAAAATAAATAAAACATTCAAAATACTCATAAATAGTGAAATTCGTAGCAGCATTTGGTCTATTAACTTAAATTACTTGCATTTTTTATTTTTTTACAAGTGTTTTATGGTGAGAAGTAATGAAATATATAGAAAAATAATAAAATTAAAAGATAATATTCATTATAAAAAATGGGACTTGAATGTAAAATATACATATAAAACATTATTCTTAAATTTCAAAAATAAAATTCAAAATACTGAAGAATCAAAGGAAAAGTAAAGCAACAAAAAGTAAAAAATCAGATAAACAATGGGAACCCATACGTATTTTGTGCGGATTATAGAGGGATTAATACTTATTCTGAAGGAGTGAGAAACCAGCAATTTGGGGAGTTGGGAGGGACCAATATCATATATTTTGAAGTTAGATCAAGATAGTGTCTCATCAAAGTTACCAGAGTGGGGAACCCACCTGTCAGAAGACATATTCCAGTCTTCCCTAAGACCAGATCTCTCTCTCCACGCATAATTTCATAATTTTACGCATTCTACCCGCGATTTAAAAAATGTTGGGTCGCACGAAATCCCCCTGTCGAACTTGAGAATCGGTCACTCTGCGCCGATTCTATCAATATATAGGAAATCACTTGGGCCTAGAAAAGAACCAGTGATTCGTTACAATAAAATGGTGTTTTGCTATAATAAAAATGCCGATTCACTGATCCAGATTGGTTCTTGACTAGCTCACTATTTTTACATGTGCTTTTTTGCAAGTTTACTATTGTTTTTACACAATAAAAACTACGATCCAAACTGCCGATTCATCGCTCCGAATCAATTTTTGCAATACCCTATCCAATCACCTATCTATTTTTTAAATCACTGCACTCTACGCATCCAAATAGCATTTGGTCATATGTATTCACTGCCCAGAGTATTATGGCAAAGCTCTATAGAAGCCATTCAAAAAATGGAAAATTGAGAGCACATAAATACATGTGTTCGGGAGATCAACTCTACCATTGTATTGGAAAACAGGCTGGGTCGTGGTGGTAGTACCCCTATACCCTAATTACTATGTCGTGGTTTTAGTTTCATTAACACACTATCTTTTTAATACTTTAAAAAAAAACTCCTAAACTATTTGAAAAAATGGTTAGAGTCCTCTCTTCCCCGTTAAATTACCCATAAAACAAAAAATAAATAAAACTATACCAGTGTATGTATGTGGACAGAGAGAAAGAGAGATCCTATAAAACAAAAAATAAATAAAACCATACCAGTGTGTGTATGTAGACAGAGAGAAAGAGAGATCCTGCAGTCAATCACTCCAGGCATTATTCTTAGATTCTAGTTTGCAAGTGGATCCACAATCCACATTGGATTGATACGAATTTTATGGCCCAAAGTTTCTCACACTCTCATGCACTAGCATTCCCAAATCCTTTTTTCCTGCCATTTTACTTTCAACATTCAAACACACACACACTCTCTCTCTCTCTCTCCACATTCTTTTTTCCTGAAAATGAAAATGCAAGAGTCAAAAGGGCATCTATCACATCTGCATGTTGACTGCAAACATGGGATCCAACCTGTGAAGGAAGAACTTTTTACCTCTCATATAAATACCCTCTGTGTTCTCCATTCTTCACTCATCTCCACAAAACCAACTTCAAAACACAACCACAGATACATATATTTCTTCATTCTTTGCCCATCTCTGAGGAAGCCAGTCTCCACATATTCATACAAATGGATGGGAGATGTGATGCATCTGAGACTCTGAGGTACCTTCAACTGTTGTCATGCTCATCATAATCATCATGTTCACATGAATATGCATGAATGTGGTTTGCATTTTTTTGTTTAATTGAAATTGTTGAATCATAAGAGAGATATCTTTCTTACTGAATTTGGAACTTTAGCTTGTTTACAAGTTTTGATTAAACTCTCCCTTAAGTGCCACATTATTTTCCAAAGTATTTGAAAGAACTCAGGATTTTGCTCTCTCTCTCTCTCTCTCTCTCTCTCTCTCTCTCTCTCTCT